AGAATGTATATAAAACGATTTGGTTTTGGCCTCTTATTTAGACACCTAAAACTATTTGAATTGACTGATTGACTGATTGACTAACTGACTGACTGATTGATGAGCAAGGCTAAGTACAAACAGGAGAAGAAGACAAATGCATATAAATCGATTTGGGTTTGCCCTCTTATTTAGACACCTAAAACTATTTGAATTGACTGATTCACTGATTGACTGATTGACTAACTGACTGTCTGATTGATGAACAAGGCTAAACGCAAACTGCAAAGGAAGAAGAAACTAGATTAATGCAACTCGAATTGGGTATCCTCTTTTATCTGGACATATAAAAGATTCTGAACTCAATGATTGATTGATTGACCAACTGACTGACTGACTAACAGAGTGGCTGATTGATGAGCGAGGCTCAGCGCAAGCAGCAGAGGAAGAAATCAAATATATATATAATAACCGATTTGGATATACACTCTTATCCAAACACGTTAAGCTGTTTAAATTGAATGATTGATGGACTGACCAGCTGACTGAGTGATTGATGAAATTCATAAAAATCGAATTTAATACATATGAACTTAATGATTGACTGACTGATCGATTCATCAGCAAGTTTCAGGACAAAACAGAAAAGGAAAAATATTTAATATAAATTGAATTGGATATGACCTTTTATCGAGACACATAAGACTGCTTGAATTGATTGAATGACTGATTGACTGATTGAAATTGAAATTGAAAATGAAATTATATACTACGGACGAGGTCTGCGCCCTTCATCTACGCATATAAAGAATATGTGTTTGGCATCCGAAAAGCTTCAAGCTCAGTTTCAATAATCCGCATAAATGTTAATTAAGACACGTGTTTATCTCACTGTTTGGTTAATCCATCTGATTGATTGCAAAATGGTCAAAAATGTTATTATTAAATTCAAAATATGGTATATATGTTACATAACTATGTCAAGAAGTTGTTGTTCTTGTTCGTAATTAAATAGATTATAAAAAAATGGATTAGTAATTAATTTAAAAAAGATAACTCGTAGTTGTTGCAAACTCCAAAGCCCGGGCAAATGTAATGCTCTTATGTGTCTGAAGGCGAATACAAATCAGATCGTGCTAATCAATTCGCAAACAAAAGACAATCGCTATGACGAAATTATCATTGTTTTTATTATTTTCTTCGTTTTCTTTTTTTGTTTTGTTTTGCTCTTGCCTTTTAACAATTACGCAAACAAATGCACGACGACAACAATGGGCCAAGACTATTGCAAGTGCGTGGGAAGAAACATAAAAAAGTCAGGCAAAAGGTAAAAACAAAAGCAAGAAATAAAACAAAAAATGGACTACAAACAAAAAGAAAAGACAAATGAAAAGGTAAACAAATAAAAAATAAATATTACAAAATTACAATAACAACGCGATGACAACAAATTAGATGCAGCACACACTGGAATTAAATAAAAATGCAATTAAAATGCACGGCAAGCCGTGCAGAGGACGCCCTATCCAAAAAGGGGGCAGCAGGGGCAGGTGCAGGGGGAGGGCGGGCGAGGCGGCTTTGCGCTCACGTTGGGAATAATTAAAACCATTTTTTGTGTGACACAAAACAAAAGCGAAAGTGTTGAAATATTTATGCAGAAAATGCACAAATACAAAAAAAAAACAGCGACAACAAAAAAACGCGAACAACAACGAAACAGCAAAGGTAGCAAACGACAAGTGTCACCAGCAACAACAACAGCAACAACAACAACAACAAAAACAACGAGAGCAACAACAACAACAGCAACAACAACAACAAGTGCAGCAACAACGACAACGATATCCAATTCGAGCAACAACAAGTCGAATTTTAATTCGCATTTTTAATAGCAGCTACGCGCAGAGTGTTAAGTTTTCTATTCGCGAGGGTTGCTTGAGATGTTTATGCGCCGCTTTTAGATATGTTGTGAATGTAGTAAATTACAGACCAGTAGAAACATAATGGACCTTAATATATATTGCTTATAGCTAGCTAATAAAGAACTCCAACAGCTGCCATCTGGTTTTTTTATAGAGTGTATTATTTATAAGCTTTTGGTGTTATGGCGGGAACAACTCCGACTCCGTAGAAGTAGACGACAAGCTGTTGATTAACTTTTCTTTTTTTAATTTCTTATTTTTGCATATTTTTTTGCCATCAATAACAAATTAAATTAGCAAATATTGGATTTAAAAGCTACTGCGGGAGTTGAACCAGCTACATTACGCTTACTCGTTCAACGTTTAAGACAACTAATACAGGCAGTCTCAATCAATATCAATCAATACTTTATTTCAATCACACTTTGAAGTTATTTACTGATTGAAATGTGTTCTGAACACCGATCAGTCAGTCAATCTCTCAGTCAGTCAATCTCTCAGTCAGTCAAACTCTTCCTTGTATATTTATATACACAATATACATGTCTATATAAGTCACAAGTATAGTATTCTATACATAATATATACTGTAGTATAGTATGGTATTTTATCTCTATCAATTGAATTTTGAATAAGTACCGGCTAACTATGGTTTTTGATTAAGAGAACAATTATGCGATGCATATATGTATATGATATTCAAAGCCGGGACATTCTAAAAATTAAGTTGTTGTCCAAAGTAGAGCAACATTTCAGTAGAGAAACATATCGGATATCTGCTAAGTTCTCGTCAAATTCAAGATATTTCTTTTGATTCTTGGAATATGAATATAAATATATTTATATAGTTTAGTTTTATATATATTTTTATAGACAAACTCTTAATGTCAACCGCGTGTTGTTTTGTATTTTAAACGTGCCATGAATTGTGTGACTAATTTTCGCCTTTATTGCAAGTGTTGCTCTTGTTGTTGTCGTTGTTGTTGCTGTTGCTTTTATTGTTGTTGTTGTTGTTGCTGTTACGGCGCATGCGCCACCGCCAGCTTTGGTCTGTTGTTGCCGTTGTTGTTGTTGCTGCTGCTGTTGCTATTTGTCTGCCGAATGTCTGCCCATCGGCTCACTCGTCTCTCAGCAGCCTGCAGTTGTTATTGTTGTTGTCATTTGGAAGTAATTAAAATGGAAATTGCATTCGCAGTTGGCCAGACGAACAATGCGATGTGCGATGTGCGAGTATTCGCATAACGAGCGCCGAGGATGCTGAGAGGAGGAACGGGAGGAGGAGGAGCGAGAGGAGGAGAGGAGGTTGAAGAGGAGGCAGTTCACAGCCGTTGGCTCAGTTAAATGCGCTAATAACTTTATTCAGTTGTTGTCGACGCTGTTGCTGTTGCTGTTGTTGCTGTTGGCATTGCAACATTTTGCCTCTGATTTCTATCAGCAGCAGCAGCAACAGACAGCAGCAGCAGCCAACTTGAGACAATCGCACGGAAATTGCAAATGAAGTTGTTGTTGTTTTTGTTGCTGATGCTGCTGTTGCTGCTGTTGCTGCCGCTTATTATCAAACATTACTTTTATTGCCGGCAACAACGGCAGCTGAATAAGTGAACTTTTATGCGGCAACTAAATAAATTTATACGTCACTCGCCGCGCAAAGTTCATGCGTGCGAAGGGCAAACAAAGCACTTATCTAATACACTTACACTAGCAATTGCTGTGAGTTTTACGACGACAACAACAGCAGCAGCAGCAACAGCAGCAACCAAAATGGCAATGACACTGACGATGGCCAACACAAATAAATAAATAAATAAGAAAAAAAAAAGGCGAAAATTATTGCATTTTCATGTCGCTTTAATTTAGTTTCGAGTGTAAACAACATAGCGCAAGCCATAAAAGTCTCTGTGCCATGAGCGGGACTCAGGGGGGGGCATGGGCAAAATTGTCCAAAAATTGTTGGTAATACGTTTGAAATTCGTTGGCATGTAAAAGTTTGTCGCCAAGTGCCAATCAAATTGCTTTTACCCGTAGTAAAAACCAATTCGGGCCTCATTTGCTTTTATGCAACTGTTAATTTGGGTCCAAAAAAAAAAAACAATTCGGGTCAACTCGTGCAAGCAAACAAATCGTGTGACAACCTAAACCTGAACAGACAGTAGTTCGAACTGGTTGACTTCAGCGTGCAGAAATAAATTTCTTTTAATTTGATTAAAATAGTTTTCAGTCGAACTGACACATGTCTGTTTATATAGATTAAAATAATATATGTATATATTCCTTATGAAGTCGAAGATCGCTTTCTTACGTTTCGTGAAAATTTAGAATATCCAAGACTGAAAGCCTAAACAAGTAAGAGTGTCCGACTGGGGCATACCCTGAACCTCCTTCTACCAGCACCAACTGCTGCTCACGCTGGTTTTGTGGAGGGGGGGGATGGCGGTAGCTATAAAATAAAAGATACTTGATCTGTGTTTACTATTCCAGAAGCTACATGTCAATTTTTGTGGCTCTAGCTAGTAAAACCAACGAGATTTGCTCAATAAACATAATTTCGATATCGATTTGTATCGATTACTTGGAAACGTGGCATGTTATCGATTATTGCAACAAACTTGTACGACGCAGGCAATAGGAGGACCTACGTTCACAATTTCAAGTCTGTCGCTCTTATAGCCTCTGACATTGATGTGTTTAGGGCTAGATCGACTCGTCTATCGAAGATAATCATTAATATATACACTTTATGGCTTGAGAGATGCTTCTTTCTGCCTGTTAGATACATTTGCACAACTACATTATGCCCTTTTTACACATTTTTGATGAGTTCTTACCTAGTCGAACCTAGTCCCTAGCTATCCTGGCTATTAATTCTGCTCATGAACGTATCCGGTTTGTGTTTCAAACCCTTATCCCGTGTTATCAATATTTGAATGCAGCAATTTAATTTCTTAAATTTAAATTCTCTCTCCCCAAAGTTAACATTTACCAAAAGTAGCATAATTGCAATGTTTGGGGTCTCAGTTATTTTTACTTCGCGTATTTGTGAAATGAAACAAACAAAAGAATCGAATAAGTGAAAAAGAAAACGAAACCGAAATAGTGCAAAACATAGTTAAAAACTTGAGCAGAAGACTAACCAAAAACCACACCAGATATTTGCTATAATTGAGAGAAAATCCGCTTAGATTAGATTAGCCTTGTGCGGATCATTATGACAATAGTCAAGCTCCAATCGACCTCGCCAGTTACTTTGATTATAGTCTTGTAGTAACCTTCAACCAATACTTCGGGCAAGACGCCATCTGTGAATGCACACATATGAAATGTGTACAGATTCCTGGGCCATGGATGGAGCACGTCGCCCTCGATTCGGGGTATGTTGGAACAGCGAGATAAATTGGGATATCCAATTTCATCATATGGTCGCTTTGCGGACGGATAAGGTTTCTTGGGTACAGCATAGGGCAGCAGTTTGTAGTCACTTTCGCTGCCGCTCACACTGCGAAAGATCCGCATCTCAATCTTGAGAATAGTTGAAAATATATAGTAATTATTATTATTACTATCGAGTTCCATTTGCCGATAGATAGCCCACCATAGTCGTGTTATCGATATCATATTGCCAGTCGATGGTGCCCGAAAAGCCAATTTCGTGGCGACCCAAGCGCTCTACGCGCAAATCGAACTTCATTTTGGTTTCATCTGCACTGATCCCGTTGATGGATATCGGATCGTATTCCCAGTTGCGCTGCAGAAGTATATCCCGATCAACTCTACGAATTGCTAATTAGTCTATTTCAAGATTAACTAACCTTGCAGTCAGAGCTTTTAAGTACTAAAAGCAGCAGCAAGAACTTTCTAAAAACCATTTGAGATAACATTTTGTTGCCGAAAATAAAATACTTCTGTTTAGTCTGGTTCAACTGCACAGGCCTTATATAGACCCAGCTCAGACTAGCTTATCTTTGCACTAATAATACTTTACAATACTTGCTTTTAACACGCCATAATCATGTTCCATAATTAGACACATAAGTAAAAACATTTTGAAACAATTATTTTGAAATTATCTCAGCAATAGGTAACAATTGCAAATTATAGACAGATCAAATATGTAGAATTTAATGAGGAACAGCTCGTAAGGAATTGCACCACATTTTTCATTGCATACTTTCGAGCGCAGCGCGGATTATGGGCTGCATTTCATTGTTTATACCCTGAACTCATTGAATATGAGTGAAAAGGGTATTATGATTTTGTACAATGGTCTGTAATAGACTTCTCCATTAACTAAGCCGCCCCTACACAATATATAGTATATATATTCTTGAGCATCTATTCGACGAGCTGAGGCGAACCAGAGAACTCTGTTCATCTGTCTATGTACCTGTGTATATAGGTATATTTTCCTATAAGATATGCAGAATGAGTTTATCGTTTATCAATATTTGCACAATATCGATAAATGTCGATTTTGAGACTTTGTTATTAAAGTATATATCGATATATATAAGAGCTACATCCAGCAAACTTTATATGCTGGTGCTCGTATATTTCGAATGCTTCACTTTTTCGATATCTTTCCCACTTAATCAAACTACCAAAAACTCTTTTGAAAAGCTAGAGCTTTGAGTTCTGGCTTTTATTGGCAAATATAGGACCAAGATCGGACTATAAACTCCGATGTTCATCAAGCATAAATTTCCCATAACGTGCGACTTACTTATTCCAAGCTAAATTAAATTATATTAAATCAAAAGCAGCCTCAAAGTGCTGCTAATTATCAAACTCTGTGTCGACTTTGTGGTAGTCTTGTTCTAATAACCCAAATCAATACAAGAGAAAAGAAAGAAGCAAAAATAGTTTGAAGTATTTAGAATTCTATGGAATTGATTTATGCGTAAACTCTGTCTCATGCCCCAGAACAAGCCCCGCGATGGTCATTGAAAAAAGAGCTCAGTTTTTGAATAAGTTTAATTAAATTCGGCTGCTTGTCGCCGTCGGGCAATCAACGGGCCATTATTGTTAACGGTTCGGCCATTTTTGGCGGAACACAATCCATGTATCAGGCCATAAAACGCGTCAATGAATGGCCGCAAACGAGCCGCTGCCAGAGCAAGAATTATTTATTAATCAACATAAAGCAGCAACAATGCGCATACTATCATTAATACAGCGCAGCTCCCCTCCTTCCCCGCCTTCCCCCTTCGCCCAGCTGACGGCATGCCAATTAAAATTCAAGTCGGATCGCCGCTTAATGTCATAATTATGAGCCAACTAAAGAGATTTACGTATTTTGTTTCATAACTTTTGCCAAAATGATTCGCCCGCAACCTGAACAGGGCCCAGACCCCGGCCCAGACCCAGGCCCAGTTCCTCGCCCGGAGCCTGTGCGTGTGAGTCTCTGCCAAAAAGTTGTTGTCTGGCATCGATTATAGTATGCAGGGAATGTAGACGGACGGACGGACAGATGGACGGACGGACAGCTAGAGAAGCGACAGTTGGCACGTCAACTTTTGGGGCGTGAAAACAGCAACAAAGAAATATTTATATACATATATATATGGATATGTAAATATATTAATAATTAAGGCATCATGTTGGGCGCGTCACGTAACTGAAATAGCAAAATTTAATTAACCAAATTAGCTGCAAAATTAATCAAATATTGTTTGGCGAATAGAAAGGGACACGGCACAAAAAACTTATGACACAAATTAACAATTAATCAACTGCTAAACTTTATAAAAAAAAACAAGCGAAATAGTAAAAAATTAAACACAAATTCAATGTTAACAGAAAAGTTACTAAAACCCACAACAAATTCGTGCAGAGCTCAGTCAGGAATATCTGCCATTAAATATTATTCTTTCGTAACAAATATTAAGCCACAATAGACCTGGGCACTATTTCATATATGAAATTTGTGAAGACATGTCATGGGTCATGGTTAGAAAATATCACCCTCATATATTATTATATATAAAAGGTTTTCTGTTTCACGATAGAGGGAAGCAGCTGTAGTAATTTTCTAACTGCGAGTGGAACGGCATTAAAATCTGGAAAGTACTCAAAAGTAATATGTCTATTGATAATCTTTTTAGAGCTCCATTTCCTGATAGCCCTAGTTGTGTTATCGACATAATATTCACGCGTAACTCGCAAATATCTGGCTTCAGTTTAGTTCCTTTGTTTGCTTTGAACCCTGTGATAGATAACGAATCTACTCCCAATTCAATCAAATGTACAACTAAAAGTTTATTTGAAGCTTAACCTTCCCCTTACAACTTTAAAGAACTCCACCAGGTGGATTAGCGCAGGTCTCTTATAGCACCTGCGCTGGCTAGCTTATCTTTCTACTAATTGGCAATTCACACGCCAACATCATGTTAAATAATTAGACACATAAGTAGCAATATTTAAAACAAACATTTTATGCTATCTCGGCAATCGGTTAAAATAACAAAAAATATAGACTTTTATTTAATACCGAATTCAATGAGGAGAATATTAAAATTTGTGCGCTCTTTACTTCATTAAACATTGTACTATATTCGTATGGCATACATTAAAGAGCAGGGCGAACTATGGGCTGTACTTAACATATATCTTTTTCTGCATACAATTGTATGTTACAGGCAAGCATCGCCCCAAGAGGTTTATGTATTCGATCTACCCCTAACGTCCGCCCGTTTATAAAAACGTGTCGAATTCAGAAACTGCAAAAGCTAAAGATTTCAAACTTCAGCTGCATATTCTCGTATAACATACGCCAAAGGAGATTGTCGTTTTTATCGATATCTTGTCCCATTTCCAAAAATCGATACAAATCGATTTTAAAACTTGGTTCTTAGAGCACAACTCGACAAAACCAAATTCGGTATCTTATGATATACACAGATTGGGAATATTTCACTTCTTTGTTACTTTTTGGATACCTTTCCCCTTTTCGTATACCATTTCGTAGTGAAGGTCAAGGAACGTATCTCAGCGCTGGCTGCAGCGTATCTCCCAGTCGAGCACGCCCGACCCGAGCACTTTTACTTGTTTTAAATACTTTCGGGCAATATTTGCAGCTGGATTTAAAAGGCAGAAAGCCAATTGACCTGCCGATTGTGTCGCACGGAAATTTAATCAAATGAAAGCTAGAGGCAATTATGCTTTAAATACAATTAATTAATCATGAAAACACAAACAAACACACGCACACACACACACACACACACACACACACACACATGGTTATTTATCCGCAGCAACTATGCTGTTATTTCAAGCGTACAGTGAAGCTTTTTTGTTGCTGTTGCTGTTGTTGTTTGCCCTGTTGATGCGGCCGCTGGGCTAGCGCCACAATATTAACATATCCTGCGTGTTTAAGTAACGCATAAAATTATATCCTGATTGAATTGACCAGCATCGAGTCGCGTGCGCACGTAAAATATGCGTATTCCAATAAAGTTGCCAACGGTTTTTATACCCGCTACCCTGTGGAAAGTGCGTGGCAAAGGGTATATTGGTAAAGAAGAACGTACTCTGTCTCCATCTTTATCTCTCTATATTATAAGAGATTTAAATCCAGAGAATATTCCTTTATAAATTGTCGTTTATCATGCGCACGAAATCGATAAATATCTATTCCTTAAGGGGCTCATAAATGTAGCTCATGTGTTTCTTTTCCTGTGTATCAGTCGCTTTTTGATTATAGGGCAACTTCTAGTCGTATATACTCGCTTGCTATTGCGTACAGCGGACATTGCTGGGCGCCGCCCAGAGCAGCCACCTCTTGCACCTCGTTTGTTGCCGCCTTAAAATGCGCGCCCACGCACATAAATCACGTGCGTGAATCTCTGCAGCTGTGTATGTGGATTTGCTGTGTGTGTGTGTATGTGGATTTGCTGTGTGTGTTGTGTGTGTGAGTGCGTCGTGTGTGTGTGAGTGTGTGTGGGTGTGTGTTGTGTACGGCTATTCCGGCAACTGTTGTCAAACGGAAAATCAGCCGACGCAGCTTCTGGCCGCTGCCTGTCATGTGTCGGTGGGTGTTTCTGAGTGTGTGTATGGGTGTGTGTGTGTGCGGGTATTTGTGTGTATGTGTGCTGTGTATTAACGGCCTATCGGCTGCTGCATATCCGGCTGGACACCGGCTTCAGTTTTATTATTATTGTTGTCGCTGCTGCTGCTGTTGTTGTTGTTGTCGCTGTTGCTGTTGTTGTTGTTGCTGTTGTTGTTGCTGCTGTTGTGCACACACGTGTCAATGACAGCGGAGGACACATTTTCAGTGTCGTGTTTAATTAGACTGCCCCCAAGGTGCACGGCCAGCGCCATTTGCACAGCACCGTTATTCATGGCGCTTTCCCGGCTGCATATTGTACGGGTACGCAGCACTTGAATACCCTTTCCTTAGGTATATCAGTTTCTCTGTGCTGATTGCAATGCACAGAAGAAGAAGCGAGAGAATTGAGTATGAAATATAAAGCTTGTTGTTTGCATATGTAGGTATTTGAACCTTTTCTTTGAAGGAGACAACTCCGATCCCATGAAGTTAATATATTCCTGATAAGAAGTATCCATGGCCGAGTCGATATCTGCGTCTGTCTTTATCTATACAAAGTTTTTCAACTTTTTTAAAGCTCATGTCGGGTAGTCAGAATCAGCTAGATCGGGAAACTATATCATGTAGCTGCCATAGAAACGATCAGTTGAAAGTGAACTTCTTAGATAAACTTCTTTCTTATTATATTCGCAAAATATCTCAAGATATATTTTATATATAGTTCAATCAACATCCGTCTTATATATCACATATGTGTCTTCTATCTGGCTTCTTTCTGGCTTCTATCTGGCTTCTATCTGGCTTCTATCTGGCTTCTATCTGGCTTCTATCTGGCTTCTATCTGG